TTAGGAACTCAGTTGTTTTCATAACTTTTTTGATTTCATATCATCCTTGACCGTGTAAGACATCTAAGGATCTTTGCTGAAATAATCAAAGACCTGAACTCCAAATTCAACCATTCCCCATTACTGGACCACTGATATGATTTCAGAAAAGTATAAAACCAACCGATGGTTTGATGGAAAAATTCAAAAATCATTACTGACAAATACAAACATTATGGGTAATAGACAACCAGAGATACCTGACTTTAGTGTTTATACTGAAAAAAGACTTCATGATATTAACACATATTTTGATAAAAAAATATGTTTGATAATTATTGAAAGTTCTACCAATTCAGAATTCAGTAAATATCTTCTAAAAGTATGGAAAGAAAAAGAATTATCATTCATTAACATACCCATAATTATACAAGAATTTGAAGAGTTGAAAGAAATTTTAGCATTCAGAGGAATTAAAATTTATGCTACACAAGAAGGAATGTTGTTAAGATGGGTAACACAAAGAATAAATATGAAATATGAAAAAACTAGAGATATTAAATCATGGTTGGAAGGAATATATGAATAACAACAACAAGGTTTAAGAGAAAATGTAACTAGAATAGTTGAATCACAAAAAATACTTGCAACATTACAAAGAAGAAAGATACAAATAAATGAAACTAAAAAGTATTATATTGTTCATATTCTGGGAGCATTTCTGATGAACCTTAGTTATAAGTATAAAAAATATAAAGCATATAGAGAAAAATCAAAGTTTGTTAAACCAGTATATATAGAAAAAGAAATTACAGAGATTACATACAGAGAATTTCATAGAACTCTTAAAAAATTTGATGAAGCAACTGAATTCAAGTTCAATAATAAAGAAAGAACCATTGGATCACATAATATATTAGAAGAGTTATCAGTGGAAATTACATCAGAAAATGAAAAAGACATAACAATATTAAAAGAAAAGTTAACTAAAGAATTTATAGAATCCAAAGGGATACTTAGGGTAAAGCTAGAACAGATAAGAGAAGAAATCTTTAATGAAACAGTTACAAGTACTATTGAAAAATTTATGAAAGAAAAAGCAACAGAACAATTAGAATTAAAGATCTTTAGAAAGTATTTTGGAAAAGAGGAATTGAAACTCCAGATAAATACTTCACAGTATGATGACCCATACTTAGATAATGCTCAACTAATACTTGGAATTTATGACACTGACAGAAATAAATATGTTTACATCAAAGAAGAATTAATAATTGAAGAAGCATTTGATTTGATAACAATACTACAAAAACAAAATATATTAAGAGAAGTAATAAAAGAAAAGGAAACCGTAATAGTTAAAGTCAATTATTTAAATAATAAACATATTTTTGAATATATCAAAAAAATTATTAGTGAAAAGACTGCAGGAATGAGAATTAATTATCACAGAATAGAAATGGCTATTGTATTAGAATTATCAGTGGAATTAACAGAATATAAAATATTCCTAAGAACAAAAATATTACAACAAGGAAACAGTTATAACAATCAAAAATTAAAATATCCTATATACTTTAAAGTATCAATCACAGAAGAACAACATAAAAAGATACTTGCAAATATTAACAATATGACATATAACATAAACATTCAAAAATTACAGGAAAATGACAATACTAGAAAAATAGTAAAACAAATTCTAAAAGAAAATGAATATACATTAAAAGAATTAACAACAAAATCAGAACTTGGAATAACATTCAAGGAAGAATTAGGGATGGTAATATTTAACCTTATAGAAATAGATAACCAAATTAATGATATCATCTTCACAGAAAAAATAACTCAACAAGAATTCAAAGAATTAGATTTTATTAAAGAACATCCTACATACAATTGTAAAGGAATGAACCATAGTATTATTCTTGTAATAAGAGGAGAATATAGACGAAAGAGAATTGAAAAGAAATTAACTAGAATAATAGAAAGAATATTAAAATTTAGAAAATTAAGAAAACAATATGGTGCAACACCAGAAGATGATACTATGATGAGATTTATTATTGAAGATCTTGATGATGAAATAGATATAAATATGGAGGATATTTCCCTTGAAGATAATTAACCAGGAATTATTTGAAACATCATCTGAAAATTTAAATAATATGGCAGGAAATTCAGAAATAGTTAATTCATTAACAATAATGAAGGAAGTAATTATGAACCCAGACTTGATTGATTTTTTACTTGAGGAAAGAAAACAACAAGCAAAAATGCTAAAAGAAAATGTTAAAATACAAATAATCATTAGTAATCTTAGAAGATGGGTTATTTATGAAAATAATGAATATTCACTGGTAAAAAACATAATTAATAAAAAGAAAGGAGTACATCCATTATTTAGAGAACACTCCAAAGATATGATTAAATATCAAGGAAAGAAAGTATTGATTAAAGTAATATCAGGAGGAACAGATAGAAAGAATATATCTTTCGAAGAATTATTAAAATATGAACATGAGGAATGGATTGTGATTGAACCATTTGAATTATGGAAATTACAAAATGAAAAGTTACTTGCCATTGCAGAAACAGATATGGGGTATGAATTGATCCC